TTTTAACTTTTTAAAGTCCCATTTCACGCTAGGTTTCTAGTGGCAATGCTTACCAAAGTTGTAGAGCAATATTTCCCAGAATGCCACACCATGTCAGATCAGCCAAACCCAAAAATCAGTAGTTATCAAAACTGTATTTTAAATTCAAAACAACAAAGACTCTGGTGGCATCTTGGGAATAACAAGTTTATTATAGAGTGAGATTTATGTAATATATACTGAATTTCCTCAGATTCAGGAATTTGTCAGATTCACGATATACATACTCGTATATGAGAAGTTCAGGTTGCGTGGTTGGAGATGGGATTGTAGACAGTGAGATGTAAGAGAAAGTGTAGAGAATATAGATAGGAATATCTTTATACTGCCTATTAAAAACTATTGATGATACCACAAATGTAGGGAATAATGGTTTCTTATAATATTATATGCATAGTATTGAATTGCTGGATAGCTCAGATGTAAAGTTATATGAGAGCTAATTGATATAATAGCAGCACATAGAATAAATGAAAGTCAGTTTTTGTCAAGTCAGAGCCAAGGCATGGTAAAAAGAGAATGAAGGGCATGGACTTATACTGCTGTTAAAGTAGCAGCCAGTTTTTGATTTGTGATAACCAAAACTTGCAGGTAGGACTAGTGGAGATGAACATGATGCCAATTGGCTTAACCTAGGTCCAGCAGTTGTGCTGAGGCCTCTGCTTATGTGTTCATTTCCATCATTTCCCAGGTTTTACTGCAATTAATGCTTACGCCTGTGTCAACTGCTATTGGAGATTAGCCAGAGTGAATTTAGGATTTTAAGCCACCCTACCACCTTCACCATGGTTTTGGAGTCTGCCGAAAGCCCTGGGATGGTTAATCCAATTATAGGGCAGCTCCTACTTTAGAAAAGAAGAGAGGGATGGAAGTGAATGGGTACTGTGTGCTATAATTAGCAGAGCCCTGAAAAAGAAGGTGCCTTAATAACATCAGAATGCTTATGGTATACTGGCAGTGCTAGCAAATCAGGATGGGAGCAGTGAATTGATAGTTCCATAAGTGGCTTGGATTTCAAGCACCAGAACATAGCAATCTTTACTGTGCTAGAAGTCAAATGTCACAATTGTTCAGTTAGTGCTGACCTTGCAGATGAGTCCATTTAGATTGTTGGTACACTGCACTACCGTCAACCAAGAGGGAGAGGCTGGTTGTTTTTGAGAGAAAAGACAGGTCAGGGAATCAATCACCAACTGTGCTATTATTATTTTTTAAAAAAACCCTTTTTGTGTGTGATAATATTAAGTTGTATAAATGTTGAGCTGCTGTTCCCATGCGCAGTTTCTTGTTGTGCTGGAGGGTGCAGGGGCAACGGTGCTACTTTCTTTTGGAATCCAGTTTGGGATTTTTCTGCACGGGAGAAAATCTATAGGAAGGAAGGAAGGGAGGGAGGGATATGCTTCGCACTGGTTCATCCACATCTGAAACTTCAACGTTGGTACTTCCCCTCAGCTGCATGAACATCCACCCAACACCATTTTGTGCTACCAATGCAGGAGTTTGTGGAAGGCACTTAGCAGCTTTGCAGCTCCTGCATCTGTTTGATAGTGATGGAGAGTGATCGCTTGTGAGTGCAGCTGCAAGACCAGTAAGGCAGGAAACATTTGGGAGGTCCTGATTCAAGGAGGTCAACGCTTGACTCGGCACCCAATTGATGTTTTTATCCTTTTCCGGTTTGTTCCAGTGGGAACTTTTGTTTCATCCCACTCCTCCTGCCTGTTTAATAACCTCTATATGTTAAGAAATATTTGGCCTCTTCTTTGGAGACCTTATTCTGTGCCTACCCATAGAGATTAAACAAAACAAAGCTTTAAAGCAAAGAAAGTAGTTTATATTTCTCTAGCTTCCTGTGTTTATGTGGTCTGGTTTGTCTGGTGTTAATGTTGATGTTTAGCTGCTTCCTTTACAAAATTATAAGCCAGCTTGAAGCTTTTGACACTGACCCAGTTCAGATGCAAAGAAAAATGGAGACAGAGAAGCACCAGTTTAGAAGTCATGGGCAAAACACAACAAGCAGAGTGTCAAACAGATGTAAGGTGGCTGTCAGCCAAACAATATCTGTTCTGCTTCAGAAAAATTAATACTTTCTTATTGAGAAGGCTGAAACTTTTGAGATGCCTTTGAGTTGATTGGAGGCTGTTCCAGAAGGGAAAGCTTCAAGATATATAATCTTTTAAACAATTTTTGTTGTCACAGTTGCTTGCAAAGCCATAGACCTTTCAGGTTATTGATCAGAATTTATCCTCAAGATTATGAAGTCTTTCCTTGAGGAAAAGCTACCTAATTGTAGAAAGATAAGTCCAAGTTCTCTCCATCCTATAAAAATTAAGCTCCATTTATAATGTAGTGGTTCCATTCAGAGTATTAATAATATCTAATGTGAGTAGATGTCTGCTTTGATGCCTTATAGAAATGGTACCACTAAGAAATGAAGCAGTTGAAATTATCCCTGTTATGTTCACTCCTAGGTGAAAAAAAGTCCTTACTGAATATATATTAAAGGCTGCATTTGCAGTACAAACTAGACAATAACAGTGTGACAGCCCTTCTATTTGTTCCCATCATTTTGAGACTCAGCATGTGAACCAAGCTAGCAGCTAGTGAATGTTTCTGTTTCCTCTCTTAGAGAACAGAGAGTAGATTGCTTCCTTACATCCTTGGGAAATGATGTCCTTGGTTAGTAGAACTGACACCACTTACTCACCCTTCTTCAAAATGTAAATGGAAGATTAGCTGGTATTGCATCCATCCCTAGAGGCAGCGAGATTGATGTGGAGCATCTGTTTCACCTAGACCTTCCATTGATCTGCTGGTATAGACATTAACTGAATGCTTATTTAAAAGAATGCCTCGGTTGTGCACGCAAATAGATGCATTTATCATCTACTGAAGCTTAAGGTATCTCTGTCTGTGCCATATATATGTAATATACAGTGAGATTTGAACAGGTTAAGTGCAGCCAAGTGCATTTTCTTTTCAGTTTATAAATAAATCTTCAAAGCCATCATGAAGGGCACATACGTCAAAATGTGCTTGCAAAGCTCCCTCTTCATCTCAGTATGGTTTGCGTAGGAGACATTGCCGGTGGATTGCACCTGAAATGAACAGAGCAGAATGCCATTGTTGCAGTCAAATCCCATCTGGCTCTTTTTTCAAAGATTGTAATTGTTATTCTTTTTTCCTTGTTTTTTCAAAATGCTCCCAAGTTTCTGTGAATCATTTGATCGTTTATCTTCTTCCCACCGCCCCTTTCTGTAATGTTGCCTTGTAGTCAGAAGGTATAAATCTCTGACTTGGGTGTTGCTGTAGATGCATGGTTTCATTAGGGAGTGAAAAAAAAATGTTTCTCTGCTTTTGGAAAGTGCAGAACAAAGAATTCTGTTGGATGGAAGTGGGATCAGAATTTGTTTCCACACCGTCGTTTCTGCACAGAAACAGTTTGATGGGTTGTTCTTATGTCCTGTCAAGCACCTTTGATTTAAAATGACTCTCTGAATCACTGATCTCTGAGAGGTCTTATAATCAATAGCCCTTCTCAGGTGTTGCAGGCTCAAAGCTATGGCTTATTCTGTCAGTCTACCTCGTGTTTGCTTTTCCCAACAGCCTGATTGCAAAAGAGGCAAAAGTAAATGGAAGTGGGAATTGAACTGAAAATGAGTTTTAGATTAAAATTGCACTGCACCCATGAGCCTTTCCCTGCCTCTCCTTTATTTTTCATGATGAGTGAATAGGAGCTAGTTGTCCTTTGATTTGTGTTACATATAGTGGTCAGTGGATATGAAGAAGACAAGAGGTCTTCTGATACTCTTGAAGTCTAATACAGTGGTGCCTCACTTAACGATTGCCTCGCTTAATGAGGAAATCGCTTGACGATTAGGTTTTTGCGATCGCAAAACGATGGTTTAAATGGGAAAAATCCGCTTCATGATGATCAGTTCCCGATTTTCGCATTATGACGATCTAAAAACAGCTGATCGTCAGGTTTCAAAATGGCCACCAGGTGTACAAAATGGCCCCCCGCTGTTTTCTAGGACGGATTCCTCGCTTTACAGGCACCGAAAATGGCCGCCCTATGGAGGATCTTCGCTGGATGGTGAGATTTCAGCCCATTGGAACACATTGAAGGGTTTTCAGTGCGTTTCAATGGTCTTTTTTATTTCGCTTAACGAGGATTTCGCTCTACAGCGATTTCGCTGGAACGGATTATCCTTGTTAAGCGAGGCACCACTGTATATGACACAAGCAAGGATAGGAAACCTGTATCCCAGATGTTAGATTTCAGCTCTCTTCTGCCCCCGCCACCATGGATAGAGATGGTGGCTGGTAGGAACTGTGGTCCAGCAGAATTTGGTGGCACAAGTTCCCTACCCCTACTATATAGGGAGTTGGAGGATAAGTGATGGGGGAGGGATATAGACATGAGTATGGGAGCACAATATTGGTGGGCCATTCATTATCCTTCAAATCTTTCTATGTAGCACAGAGTTAGCGCTGCTTTATAGTGAGCATGATACCTGTAACAAGAAGTGTTGCTGTCTGTTTGCCACTTCATGACTGCTGAAAAGACTCTGATTACCTCTGGAAAATGTAGAGAAATCATTGGGCCATGAAATTTAGCTGGTCTAAGTGGTTTAGGAGGTTACTGCCTTTGTTATAACTTAGCATAAGGCAGTCCAGAGTTAACAACACAGTCTCTTTTGTTATATAGTACACCTTGCCCTAAGGTTATACTTTTGGTGGTAATTTCAATTGGGGTTCTTTGGGAACTTTGTCCAAGTTCAATTGAAATGAATGGGATTCGGGCCATCTAAAGACAAGACCCTAAAGCTGCAGTCTTCGCTTTTACAATTATAGTGTGTTTATGAAGAGGAAACATTTAAGCTCAGAGGAGTTCTTCCTGCTAGCTATGAACAGGTTTAAACAAGGAACATAGAGATGATCTTTGTTTTGTTTTACGGCAGTAATGGAGAATCCAATGGCCAGTGCATCTCCTCCTTCCCATTTTCCAGAAGAGGATGGCTCAAAGGAGAGCAGTGAAGTTGTCCCAGCTGGGTAAGCAACTATTCCAGTCTTGGCTCATGCATGTCCAGTCATCTATTGGGGCTGATACTGTAATGTGGTCCATGTAGTATCTTTGCCATGGATCACAGCTCCAGTTTCTCAGGCTACTTTCAGTTCTAGGAATTATGTTGACAGTGGTCTTCTTGTCTCCAGAAGACAAAAAACAAAGACACTTTGGATATCTCTTGAGATATTGGAGAGGAGACTTTCATTTTGGTTGCTATTTTTCCCGTTAGAAATATTGACTGAAATGTACACTGCCTGGAAAGGGTTGTCTTCTGGGGAATCAGCATCCAGAAGTGCCAAAGGGCATTTTCTTGTTAGAGATGCTTCTTGGCAGGCAAGAAAAATTAGGCTGGTGGTGAATACCTTACTGAGGTAAGAATTTAGATTAGGGAACAGTAGATTACACCGAGTGTGGAGTTCAAGGTGTTGTTGGTCTGCAGGAAGGCATGTGGCCAGAAGGACAGAATGGGATAGCTCAGGCAGAAAAAAAAATCATTTTTCCTTCCTTCATTAGAAAACCCTTAAGAAGATGAACAGCGTTTCAGGGCTTTAGACTCGGGTATCATTTTCCCCTGCCCTGTCTCTGTCCCATCCTTCCATGTCTTTCCATCTCTCAGTGTCCTTTCAGTAGGAACTTCAAGGCAGCAAAACATACAAAGGTTTAGAGGAAATGGGCTGACCTCACGATAAAACTTGATCCTTCAATGGGAAATTGTCATTTTGCACTAGAAAATTCTGGGCTATATTCTGGCTTTGAGTTTTCTAGATGTTTAAGAGCTCCATTGTCATAGGTGTACTTTTGGATGGCTGTTTTGTCTCCCTCGGACCCTAAAAAAAAAAATAGATACCTGATATAGATAGTCTTAAGAGAAATCACTCTGGCAGGTGCAACAGGCAGGTACATAATGTTCTGTGATTTGCAACATCACATAATAAAAATAAGAAATGCTTTGTCCTGACAATGAAGAGAGGATTGTACACAGATATTTTATTTTTCCAACCAGGTTAAATCACTCCGAAGGGCTGTGCAGTAGCAGTGTTTCCCAGTCTGCCAACAACCCAGATTTCACTGAGCAGTTGTTGCAAACCCAACGGCTGCGAAATGAATCATCTAATAAACCAGAACATAGTGAGCCAAGGCCTGAGGAAGAGGTGAGCAGTAACCAGAAAATGATGTTCTCCAACTGAATTGTGTATCCATTCATTTCTCTCCCCTCCCTCCCGCCCCCACTGTGTACACCTTTTTAAATGGAAAACTACCAAGTGGACTATTGATGGATTTTGACAGGCGTTCCTTCTGTTTCTGCTCTCAGTTAAGAGAGGACACCTGCAGATACATACTGTTGGTGATGCCAATGCCTGATGCCGCTATGTCTCATCCCTTTAGGGCATGAGAGAGCTATAGATTTTAGTCAGAGAGAAAGGTCATCCTTTGGCATGACATGACAGAATTGCCTCGTGATTTGTTTTGCTTCTGCAGACACATTTGGCCCGAGCCTCTGTTGGAAGTTAGATTATAAGGCAGATGAGCTGATGTTCATCTGTGTTACAACTTAATTTCTTACAATGTACACTTTGCTCCATCTGACTTTTAAGATATCAAGTGTTGTCATGTCTGTCATCTAAAGACTTCAGTCCTCTTTCTAAAATCATATTAGGTCTCCCTTTCTGCTGGAAATTTTAGTAATACTAAGTTTGCCTTTCCTTAAAACCCATCCCCTGGTTTGTGAGTTTTATCACAGCTTGCATCATTTGAAGGCACTTTATCTGCTTCTTATCACACCATCCTCTTTTTTAAATCTCTTTCCAGCATTTCATGAGATCTGAAAAACCTTCAAAATTAAACTAAATAAAATATTTTTTTTTAAAAAAATGGCATGATCTGTAGGGACATTACCTATCATTTCTGTGAAAAGTGGATTTTTGGCTGTATCAAGGAAAATCCATTCCATTCAGACTGAAGTTTCCTGTTCCAATTCAGTCCACCCCAAGCCACCTCAGGCCACTTTATGCAACCCTCTGTTGCATACAGAGGTGCTTGTCCAGACCAATATATTTTCTAATGCGCCCATCGCATTCTGACTACTGGGCTGAAACACAATTTGCTGTTAAGATTTACTAGGCAAGTGTCCCATGTAACTAAGAGAAGCATTCCAGATGCTAAAGGAGATGTCAAACAATAACTTGTTTTGAATTTTTCTCTTCTCTCCCCTTGTACAGCAAAGAAGTAAAAGAGGAGGCTGGTCCAAAGGGCGGAAGAGGAAAAAACCTTTAAGGGACAGCAATGCTCCTAAATCTCCTCTCACAGGTTATGTGCGATTTATGAATGAACGGAGGGAACAGCTTCGAGCCAAGAGACCCGAAGTTCCATTCCCGGAAATCACCAGGATGCTAGGAAATGAATGGAGCAAACTGCCTCCTGAGGAAAAACGGGTACCCTTGCATTGCCTTTCTCTCTATGGAATGTGGTGTATTGTCACCAGGATGTGACCTTGCTCTGTGATGACAAGAGCAGTAGGACAGAAGTTGGTCTCTTCCCATATTGAGTGTGGGGAAATGGCAAGGCAGATTGCCGCCAGAGGAGATTACTTCATCGGACGGATTTATCAGTACAGCTGGTGTCCTGAAAAAGATACGCCTGAAGGAATAAGATGCAGACTTAAAGTGGGGAGGCATCAGATGGTTTATCATTTATAAAGGCTGCTTATAGTGTGGAGAAAATGTGATGCTTTGGAGTTTTAGATGGCAATACTTGCTTCATTAGTCTATTTTTAATTGGAAGAAACATCCCAAAATGAAGTGGATAAGCGGGAACTGCCCACTTGATTGTTTGATTTCTTTATTTATTTATTTATTTATTTCAGGTCCTACTCTAGCGCTTTGTCTCAGAAGCGTTCACAGTATTTGTTCTAACAGAGCAACTGGGTTCAGTTGAGTTTCTTGCCAGCCAAGTGTATCTGGGAGTATAATTGATATAATTCCATTCCTAATGGTCTCAACATCTGAGGAGATTAAATGATATGGGAAATAAAACAGGCCAAATACAATAAAAATAATTTCTGAATTTGATTTTTTTTAAAAAAAAAGCTATACCGTGGCATGCCATAGATGAACAGTTGAGAAAGCAAGTGGATTTGATTTAAATCAGGTTGATTAAATTTTTTTAAAAATCTGATATTTTTGGTTTAAATCTTGATTTAAATCAATTTGATTTTTAAATGTCATTGATTTTTATCCACCCTTTCTGAAAGCCATGTGGAGAACCTACTGCAGTGTGGAAAGAGGAATTTAGAATGCAATTTTCATGTGTCCCTGGGTGGGTGGGCCTGAAGCATATTGAAATTAGTAGCACCAGAATAGGGTAATTATGCATTTGAAGTGCATTGATAGAAACAGAATGTGCCTGAAGATATAAAAGAAAAGGATGGAGCATAATTGGGTAATGAAGTGCCAGCAATGTGCTATTCACTAGGTTGATACGAGAGGAGACCTATTTGACCTAGCCTGTCTTGACATTTTAATGCATTCTGAATCAGCTTCGTTGGATGATTCTCGGTTAGAGAGGAAGATAAACACAGTGTCCGCTTTTTTCACACCACAAACAATTTTGTACAGTTCTCCCCCACCCTCTTGTTAACATTTTATTTGAAATGAAACAGCTTCAGATATAATCTTTTCAGACAAGATATTTGTTCAGCTTCCTAATTGTTTTTTGTTTTTTTTTGGTGGCATTTTGAACATCTTTTCCATTCCAATTTATCTTTGAGATGAAATGATCAGAATTATGCACAGTATTCCAACTGCAGTCACACTAGATTTGCATAAGTAGAATCTTGAGAGCTTTGTTTTCTGTCGCTGTCTCAAATGATCCTCTATTGGTCTCTTCCACAAGTACAATGAGTGAATGTTTTCATCCAAATTTTATCTCGAGAGCCTTTCCTGTGGATTGACCACAAGCGAATGTTGCTCGAATGTATTTATGAACTTAGGATTCTTTTGCTCTTGTTTACCTCATTTTATACTAAAATGGAATCATATTTGCCCTTTGGGTGCCTCCTTGGCCAGTCTGGAGAGATCCAGAACCATACCCAAGTGAAGTAACTCTGTGTGTTTGCGTTATGATATTGGCAGATATTTTCTGTCCATGAATACATTAAAACCTGTGTCGTTTATGCAGAGAGACTACTGTAGATTACTTTGTTCTCCCACTGGTCTGGATAGGCCAAAACCAATGATGTACCTCTTATTTGAGCTACCAGAATTTTTCGTGCAGGACCTTGATTAGAAAACTCTGCATTCAGAGTTACCTACAAGAATAAAATTCATCACCCCCTTGTTACATTCTCCACCATTTTCTAAGGAAGGATATAAACTTAGGGTAAGATGAGAAGCCTGAAGCAAATGAAGGGAGAATGTAGGAGCAAGGAAAAGAAGCTTTTCATGTGAAAGGGTACCATCACTTCCATCCTCACTCGTGTCTACTATTTAAGTTCTTCTCGTGTTGACAACTGCCTTTGAAGTCTTCTGCAACCAGGCCCTCTGTTCATTAAGCATATGTGTCAGAATGCTAGAGGCAAGGTTTGATATGATTTCCTTAGAAGTGTATTCAAGCACCTCACTGTTGTGAAGACTAAAGTTCTCATCTTGATTCATCCCATATAGAGGCAAGGAGATGTGATTTATGTCCTATTAAATGTGAGATAAAATTTCTTAGTGTTTTCCATTCTTGTTGGAGTTGTTACGTGCCATCAAGTTGCCTCTGCCTTATAGCTACCTTGCGATTGAGTGACCTGCAAAAATGTTTTGTCATTAACTACTTCTCAGCTCTTGTAAACTCATGGCTGTGGTTTCATTTATGGAGGGAGTCAACAATCCATCTCATATTGGGTCTTCCTCTTTTTCTGCTGCCTTTAACTTTTCCTAGCATTATTGTCTTTTTGATTCATAGCACACCCCGTCACAAAGGTACAAGGCAAATGACAGTCCTTCAGATTCCATAATAAAACCAAGGGCATGTTAATAAATAAAATACTGTGTACTCAATTTAGTCTCTCCTGTCAAGTAAATCTCAGTTTAGATAGAATCTTAAAATCACAGAATAACTGAATTGGAAGGGGCCAATAAGGCCATTGAGTCCAACCTACTGCTAAATTCAGGCTCCAAATCTAAGCCAATCTGATTGATGGTTGTCCAATTTTCTCTTGAAGGCCTCCAGTGTTGGAGCACTAACCACCTCCCGAGTCATTGGTTCCATTGTCATACTGCTCTAACAGTTAAGAAGTTTTTCCTGATAGACTAGAACTTTTATTTGTTTTAAATAAAAGGCTGGACCGGACCTGTATTCCACAGTTGAGAGTTTCATAGCTGAGGAACAACCTCTGAGATGCCTTTATGTGTGTCCTTGATTTTACTGTGGAAAAGGGTAGAGATGAGGAACCTTTAGCTGACCTTTAAAGTTGAAACCATGGGATGTAAAGAGGAATCTCTATATTCCGTTCCTTTTCACTTTTCCTGACTGTCCATATAGCCAAGGACTGTGGAAAAAGTTCACCTGCCTGATTTAATTGCTTTCTGTTCTGAGGGGAGAAGTATGATCTGTTCTCTTGTTTCAGCGATACCTTGATGAAGCAGACAGAGACAAGGAGCGTTACATGAGGGAGTTGGAGCAGTACCAGAAGACGGAGGCGTACAAGGTCTTTAGCAGGAAAGCACAGGACAGACAAAAGGGCAAATCTCACCGACAAGGTATTAATGTACAATAACTACCCTGTTTCCCTGAAAATAAGACCTAACGTGAAAATAAGCGCTAGTATAATTGCTCGTAATATAAGCCTTACCCCCAAAATAAGCCCCTGTTAAGTGAACCTGAAGATGACATGACCATAAAATAAAACATCCCTTGAAACTAAGCCCTAATGTGTTTTTTGGAGCAAAAATTAATATAAGACCCTGTCTTATTTTCGAGGAAATACAGTATCAGAACCTTTGACTAATTCACTTTATGCTCCGTTTTACGTGCATGGAGTAATGACTTTCACCAAACACCTAACTTACTTTTCTTTTCTGCTTGAAACGTGGTGCGTCTTCAGTATTGCATTCTCCTGTTTGTTAATAGCCTTTTAAAGGAGATGTTCAGAGAGCCCAGTTACCAAAAATCACTCCAACCATTTTCTCTTCCTCCCCCTGTTTTTCTGCCTTTTTTTCTTCTCACTTAATGAGCAGTAAGTGTACATGGGTAAACCTATAATCCTCCAAGTGTCATGCACTTCCTTTTAAAATGTGGGCCCTGGCCTATGGCAAGTGTAGGATAAATGCTGGTCTTCATTTCTGGAAGAGTAGATGGCTCCAACCCCACAGAAACCCACTGTATCCTCTCAGTGCCTGTTAAGTGTAGGAGCATACATAGCACAGGGTTGTTCCTACAGTCTCATGCTGTTCAAGCTGCAAGAGAGTTGAGAAGAAAGCTATCTACCTCCAGAAGTACCTGTCTGTCTTCCCCTTTCTTGGCTTGTCGTATGAGATATGCTGATGTGGAGAGGATTGGTAGATACGCTACACATGGATTGGGTGTAATGCCTGCTTTCTGATGAAATAAACAGGTTTAATTCTCAGTAAGGTTCCCTTGGTTTAGGAAGCAGGGTTCGCATTCCTTCAGTGTGGTCCTTTGTTTTCTTCCCCATGGAGACCTCTCACACCTGCAAGGAGAGAAAACCTCTTGACTTAGAGACGTAGTGATAGGAGCAAAATGCAGTATTATCCTCATTCCTGATGCAGCAGGCACAATATCCCTTAAGAGAAACACAGTGTGGATCCGTATGCAGCCTGTATGGAACCTATAGGCTGTCTCCTTTCTTTCTTTTTTGGAGCGTCATGGAGGCCACATTGTTCATTCATTAAACAGCTAGAATTCCATTGTAGTAATATTGAATTGCTGTCCTTGCATGCATTCACGATGCAACAAGAAAAGGGCTTGTGAAATCTATCTCGGGCTGCATTGCAAATGTTGTTCATTTTGTTTCCCACATTGTTTGTTTCAGAGGGAGCACGACAGGCCGCCCATGACCATGAGGTAAATACTCTCCTCTGCTACTCCCTAGGTTGGCTTTCTTTATTAACTGTTCAGGGGCTGTGGACACTTTAAAGAGATATGGGGTGACCACATAAGCCAGCCACTGGTGAGATTGTGTTAAAATACTGTCTGTTGGTATGTCACGTACACATTCAAGCTTTGCGATCTATTCCCCCCATCTCATCAGTACCCCTGCTGAATCTGTATGTTAAGCTTATATAATGCCATGTGTTGTATAACATGCACAGTGTGTGGATTGTGTGGTGCTTACTAAGTATCGGAAGGCAGAGATGGAAAGAGTATTCACTAAATCCCTCAGCTGAGTGCTTTAAAAAGCTGTAAAGCACATGAAAAGGTGATAAAATAATCAGACTGGAGTTGCACAAAACTAGAGAAAGTAATGAAAATATAGAATAGTTTTGGGTAAAGAAAAATAACCATCTTGGTCATCCCACCCACCCCCTTTTAAAAATATTTCAACTGATAATTTCATCTTTTGTATAATTTCTGGAGGCTCAAAACAAGGGCCTGTTCTAAATAATCAGAATTCTTTTTTCCACGTGGGAACTTGGTACCTGTGCCCCTCTGTCTTTCTATCGATCTGTCTTTCTTTTTAAGGACAGTGAAAGAAGCAGTCCGTTTTGTGTTCCTCTTCCAGTTTATGATAAATGACACAGTGACACTAAGCCTGAACAAATTAGTCCTTTGCAATGAAGTGGTAATCAAATCCGTATGATTTTAATCCCACGAGTGAGCCTCGGAGTGGTTTAAGTACCTAGGAGCTCTCGAGAGGCTCCTTTAACATGCTGGGGTAATGTACTCGATAATGGCAGAGTGCTGATGGTTTTCATTACTTTTCTTCCATTAAGTAGAATCTCTCTGCCTTTTAGAGACTTAATTGCTGAACTGCTTGGCGTTACGGAGGTGGGGCTGGAAGAATTTCTCCCCTGGGGAGCAACTGTCATACCCGTAGTGTCTTCCCCCACCCTGCCACAAAACCCACTGTCTGAAGGAGTCATTTTTTCTCTCTGTGTGTGCTCATTCCTGAGGTTTACAACCGATTTTCATAGGGATCTATTTAGAGCAGCTTAAATTATATTGCTACCTCAGGCAAACATGCATTTGGTTGCACCTTCTCAATATCTTGTGCGTAGTGCTCATCCCATTTTATTATGTATTTTTTTTATTAGGAAACTCTTCATTAGATAGTTATTTCTGTAGAGACAAATTGGCTAGTGATGTACTGTTGGTTTGCTTAGATATTTGCTTGCACTTTTTTAAAACATCAGGCTTCGAGCCAATTATAGATACCAAAAAAAGCAGTATACGAACATGACTGCAGTTCTGTGGACGTTCCCCAAGGTATTTCCTCCTCAGATCCATAACTGATACAGTGAACACAGAAGGAAATATTTGGGAGAAGATGTGGTGGGTGCCCCTGACTTTGTAGGATGTTGGTGCCCCACCCGCACACCTGTCGAAGGGTTTTCAGGATATTGTATAGGAAGCTTTGTACTGAGTTCAAATGAGTGGGTGGTCTGGCCTAAGCCATTGTTTCTCACCTGGTGTCCTGCATTTTAGTTTCCCAGACCTTTGCTTGCTGGGCCTGTAAAGGTAAAAAAGGTAAAGGTTCCCCTTCTCATTTTTAGTCCAGTCGTGTTCGACTCTAGGGGATGCTGCTCATCCCGTTTTCAAGCTGTAGAGCCAGTGCTTGTCCGAAGACAGTTTCCCTTGTCACGTGGCCAGCGTGACTAGGGAACGCCATTTACTTTCCCACCAAGGTGGTACCTATTTATCTACTTGCATGTACATGCTTTCGAAGTTCTTAGGTTGGCGAGGAGCTGGGACAAAGCAATGGGAACTCACTCCATTGCGTGGATTCGATCTTACGACTGCTGGTCTTCTGACCCTGCAGCACAGAGGCTTCTGCGGTTTAGCCCGCAGCGCCACCACGTCCCTTTGCTGGGCCCGTAGGCTGGGTTTTCTGGAGCTGAAGCCAAACACATTTTGAGGCTGAAGACTAAAACACTTGAAGGCGGTGTGGGGGGGGGCAAAGGTTGAGAGCCCTTGATCTCAGCGGTCCATGGCTCTGCAAAGACTTGGGCAAAAGTGTTTTCCAAGCTTGCTGCCTGGAGATACTGAGTTTGATCTTAGAACCTCCTGCAGGCAGTGCAAGAGCTCTGTCTCTGAGCTAAGGCTCATCCCCTAAAGCAGCTAGTCGTGCTGCCTGTTGGACCTTGGCAGCTCCAGATATGTTCTCACAAGGATCCTGAGTATAACCAGTATACGAGCATTTAAAACATCTTTAAAGGGGGACAGTAGCCATGGACAAACTCATCCCTCCCCCAATATCTTGCTTCTCATAGAAATGTCTAGGTTTGACAGATGGTGAGATATAGGAAGCAGTTCTGACATCCTGCTACTTCCTCTAGAATCCAGTCCCCCTTTTCTTCTCTGTCTTGTACACTGCTTCACAACTGAGGATGTCCAGCAACCTTTACACTTGGTTAGGAACTTCGGGGTGTGTGTTTTTTTTAATGGGAAAAGGCTGCCGCGGCCTCTGAGTTTGCTCAGGCAAAGCCGCGAAGGGTTTTCTGCGCTTCCAAAGCGCCGTTGTCTATCTTGGCCACCTGCCAAACGGCTCTCCATTCATCTCCACTGAGCCCCTTTTATGAGGCCTGCCCCAAGATGAAGCACTGAGCTTTAACAGCCAGAATGCCATTGTAGGCTGTTAACCACTTAGCTTTCTTGCTTGGCCCGAAATCATGTTTGACACTTCGTTTAAAGCCTCAGGTGTTTACATACAAAAGCCCACAGCCTTGGTGAAGGCTAGCGAGAGGCATTCTTTCGTAGGATACATTTCTCGGTGCCTGCTGGCAGCCGAAACGTTCAAGCTATCTGCAAATCTTCCTTCTTGCTGTACAATTCCATTATTATGTTGCCGTTTCAATTGCAGTTGTTGCAGCAGAGCAGACAAAGAGGGACATTGTCTTTTTTACAGTTACAAGGGCATGCTGTTAAAAAAGAAAAAAAAGCAAGATTCCCCTTTATCATTCTGGACTTCCAGAAGTCACAGCGATACTGGTTTAAAAGTGTCGTTTTCTCAGTTATTCTGCATCGTGTATGGCAGGTCTCTCTCTCTTTCACAGAAATCATTTCAATAAAGAGGTTGTGTTCAACTGATTTGATTAGAAAAGTGGAAAAGTTCCAAAAGTAGGCCAAAAATAAATAAATAAAAATGCAAGTGAAGTACCCCTATTTTTCCTAAGGCCAGCTGACAGAGGGTGGGGCCGGTTTGCCTCTCTTGCAAGATGGTTTTCCTTGTTTTAGAGTGTCCTTTCTCCCTCTCTGCTGCAATAAATTCTGCTAGATGGAATTTGAGGGAAGTGCCACAGTGGAACTGGTCTTTCAACAGAGCTGACGGGATGGCCCTTCTTCCCATCCTAGAAGGCTTTACGTTCTGCTTTCTCCTTGCAATGCTAGTCTGATTTCACCAGGAGAGAAAACTTTTAAGGAACCGTGTGTTTTATGTTCCTTAAAACAGCAACATAAATTAGAATTGGCTTTAAAAAAAAAACTTAAGATCATCTTATCCCATCCTGTCCTGACATTGTCCTGTGGTTTGTTAAGGGAGAGATGCTTGGTGAAATTCTCATAGTCACTTTTCCCAACTTGTCTGGAACAGCGAGTGGCTTTCCAGTTGCCGTTGAACTGCAGTGCCCATCCGCCCTAGTTTGAAGAGGAAGTGGTGAGGGATGAGGGTGCTTGTGATTCAGCATCTCAAGGGCCACAGCTACTCATACTTGGTCCTGAGCATATCTGCATGTTTCATGATGCGAGGGGTTGAGACATAATTTTGCTGTTTTCTGTATGCAGAAGGAACCTGATACGAAGGAGAGGTCTGTTTTCGATATTCCAATTTTCACAGAGGAGTTCCTGAACCACAGTAAAGGTGAGCAGAATACAAGCCCTGCTTCTCTCTGCCTCCCGCTGCCTTCACGTGCATACATATCCTGCTAATAGGCAAGAGTCAAGCAGACATTGTTTTTATACATTGCTGTATGTGCTTTTAGTAGGAGATTACTATGTGGCTGAAAGAGAATGGTAGCAAATAATGATTAAAAGCATATAAATAAAGGCTGAGACTGGTTAGTGACCCTACAGTTGCAAGACTGGAAAAATGGTTTGTTTGCAAAGCATCTGCTTTTAGATTCTCTGCTCCAAATCTGCTCTGATTCCATGCTGCAGTAATCCACAAGGCAAAAGGCCGTCATCACTGCCTCCATTCGTGTGCCAGGATTCCTCTTGACCCAATCAGCTAGAGTCTGTGAAGCTGCTGTTTTGCACAACAGAATTTTAAGAGAGAGAAAGGTGCTGCCGGTTCCTTGCATCCCCTTGGAAGCCCCGCACCATCCTTGCTGCAAGCTAAAATCTGCAGAAAGAGAATTTTGCCTTGGCTTGTGCAGTTCTGTGTGGCCTAGGATGCTGCAGTAAGCAAACACGCTGTAAAAGCAGTGTCTTAAGATGGCTCTTTGTAAGGCCACCAGAGTCAAGTACAGTGGTGTCTCGCTTGACATTAATTCATTCCAGCGAAATCACTGTAGAGCGACAACATCGTCAAACGAAATTAAAAAACCCATTGAAACGCATTGAAAACCGTTCAATGTGTTCCAATGGGCTGAATACCTGCTCGTCCAGCAAAGATCCTCCATACAGCAGCCATTTTCGGTGCCTGTATAGCGGGGAATCCGTCCTAGAAAAAAGCGGGGGGCCATTTTGAAAGCTGGCGGCCATTTTGAAACCCGATGGTCAGCTATTTGCTGATCGTTGTAAAGCGAAAAATTGGTTCCCAAAACGGAACCGATCAACGTGAAGCAAAAAGACCCAATCTAAACATCGTTTTGTGATCGCAAAAACTTCAGTGTTAAGTGGATGCATCATTAAACAGGGTAATCGTCCAGCGGGGCACGACTGTAATAAAAGTTCAAGAATATGGTGGTGTTTCAAATGATACAAACTTTGGGCAATAATGAAATCCAGACATAAATGCAAAATAAAAAAAAGGATGGCAAAAGACAATTAAGTTTATCCAGGATCTTTATTGGAAGTGGTCTGTACAATAATAGCGCATTTATCTTTTGAACAGTCACCGTTGATTTGTTTTAACCTCAAATACGCTCAATGCCATGATATCCCTCCTCCCTATGGCTGAGCTTAAATGTAATCCTTATACAATTTATCTTCTTGTATTTCCTTCCTGTTTTAGAAGGAAGGATGAATATTCCTCAGACCTCTTCAAAATCAGTCTTTTGCTATCACACTGTATTAGGGATGTGGACATTTCAATATGTCTTTCCCCAAGCAGGCAAAGATCTTTTTCTTCAGGCAGGGTTTTCCTCAGTCACTGACTGTCTAGGAGAGGTTTTAAAACAAGGTGGTTTATATTTTGTTGCTTCTAAATCTGTTTTTAGTCATGCTTTTTACCGAACATTTTAAATGAAACGTTAATTTTTTAAAAATTTGAATAGTTTACTGTTTTTCACTGTTAGTATTTTGTTTTTAATGATGTATACTATTAAAGGAAAAAGTTAAAGTTAAAAAATATTTTAAATTAAAAAAATTGAAATGAATCTTTGAAAATAGTAGTTTTATTACTTTGTATCTGTTGATTTGCTTTGGGTTGTTTTGGTGCACTTTGGTGGAGACCCAAGTAGCTGCTAAACACAAGGAAGAAAATCCCGAGTGATCCCTGTCTTTCCTTTATCTCGTGACTTGTTGACAGCGCGGGAAGCAGAACTCCGTCAGTTGCGCAAGTCCAACATGGAATTTGAGGAGAGGAATGCTGCCTTGCAGAAACACGTGGAGAGCATGCGCACAGCCGTGGAGAAGTTGGAGGTCGATGTGATCCAGGAGCGCAGTCGGAATACAGTCCTTCAGCAGCACCTGGAGACCTTACGGCAGGCGCTGACCAGTAGCTTTGCTGGCGTCCCCTTGCCAGGTGAAAAGCTCGTGCAATATGGACTCTCAATTCCCTTCCTCAATCCTGATGGCTGATCTTTGTGCGTATGCTCGGGACCTGGTGGTCCTTGATCCGTTTTAATGAGTGGGTACTGCGAGTTGGGTGTTGGAATCTTTTTCAGTGCCAAGTGTCAGGATCTGTTATTGGGAGAATCTTTGAGATAAAGCAAAAACAAAAGCCAAATGTGCTTATATACTGCCCCACAGTGCTTATAGCACTCCTTGGGAGGTTTACGGTTTTTAAATATGCAGGCTACACATGGCTCCCCCTTCTGCCTGTGAGCTGAGTACTCATTTTACCAACCTCAGAAGGAACATGGAGTCGACCTTGAGCTGGCTCCCTGAATCTGCTTGGACCGAAGCAGGTCGTGAGCAGAGTTTTCCCTGCAGTACTGCACTTTAACCACCAAATCACGAGGCTCTTTGAATATCACGGTAGCTTGTTCCCAAAAGCGGCACATGTGTTTTCTTCCATATAGATCTTTTCACTATGCCAGCTGAATGGCAGTGTCTGTTGGTTTTGAAATCCTGTTAACAGGCATATGATATGGTAAAACGATGTGATCCTCCTGTTTTATCACCCTGTTGCTGAGCATCAGCATGCATGATCTCCTTTAGTTTTGAGTGACTTACACCGATCATTTTTCAGCTGCAGGCTTATAGTCCTATTCAGACCTTCAGGGCCGGGTTAATCTAAAGAGGTGAGGAGAGGGATCAGGCCCACCTAGAGAGTGATCACTAGCAGAAAAATAGGATGTTTACATCATAGGGAGAGGCTACTTGGGAAGAAGACACTATCTTTTTTTGGACAGTTGCTTTCTATGAAGAGAAACAAACAGCCTTCTCCTTTTCCTCATGCATTTGTGTATGAGTACCTTTTAAACCTCTTAACTCAGTTTGTTTTATCCTCTTCCCTTTGACTTGTGTGTCTGATAGGAAGTGGAGAGATGCCCACAGTGGACACTATTGATTCATACATGAATCGGCTGCACAACATTATCCTGGCAAATCCGCAGGAGAATGAGAATCTTATAGCCACTGTACGCGAAGTTGTAAACCACCTTGAACGCTAGCAGCCTGGTGAGTTTCCGCCTTACCAAAATGTCAGGGATATATTCACTAGGGCTGCATTGAAATGCGGGTAACATTTGAAATGCCAACCTTGCGAAGTCAATTTCTGGGCTTGGATTTTGATGTCGGGTTCTTGTATCTTGATGAACTCAAAAATTACTCATATTTTAGTTTATATAGCATAAACAGCACACACACTGTATATGTAAAGTATCCCCCACCCCCGTTTCAGCATCATGTCCTTTTCATGGTTAGACTTGTATGTGCTGGGACATTTTTGATAGGGTTAGTGATCTTCCTACATTTTTGTCAATACTGTTTTTCCCCGTTCCTGTTATGTCAAAGAGAACTAGTAATGTTGTACCCTTAAAAGCAGTTCGAGTTTTTTTGTTCTAAATCTGTGAGGCTAAGCTCCCAAGCCTGTGTATTCTGAATTGCATGTATAAAATGAAACAGTTGCTTTAATTCAGTATATTCAGAGCTGAGGTCCATCTGTGCTATACAAAGCCGGAAGTCCTCAACCTTTCCGGTCCTGACCTTCCTTGATAATTGCGCAGTGCAGTTAATTGCGGGCTCCCCGTTACAGCCTAAGTGAAAAGCCCATTGCCTTTCCAGCAAGCAGCCAGATGGAACAGGCGACAGTTCTAAGTCAATTGTGCTCCCTGCCGGATAACGCATTGGCTCTTCAGCCGCTATTTTATGCAGGGGAACAGCTTGTGGACGCAAGTCTGGGATTTTTCCACAGCTCATCAGCCTTCTCATTTTTAACAGAGCATTTTCCGTTAGCATGCCTGCAAGCTGGAAAGGGGAGACTTAGGGAATTTGCGGGTGGGACAGCATTCTGTCTGCAGCAGAATGTGGGAAAGAGTTTTCCCTTTAGGCAGGTGTTGGAAGGACACCTCGAGCCGCATGCCAGATGTTCTCATTCCAGCACACCTTGCCAGTAAAACCCCTGCTTGAAACTTGCAAATGTCAAGATAGTTCACTGCGTGCATTGTTGGGAGAAACCATGGAAAAGGCTGGTGACCCCAAAATGGAAATCTGTTTTGCTTCTGGAAAAACTGGATTCAAATTTGAACCACTTGAAGCAACGGCAACAACAACAACAAAAAACAACAACAGCCTGCACCCTTCTATTCCTTCTACACTGTTTTTAGTTAAGAAGGCATGTTCTCACTCCTTCAAGCAACATAAATGAGGCAATTTTAAAGGTTGATTCCAGACGGACTTCATTATCCAAATGTGAATGCTCAACTGGTGCTGACATTCAGTGTCGCTTTGGCGTGATTAATTACCCTTGACATTCCTTGGCCAAAGATTCTCCCAACATGAGTGGGTTGCAAAGGCGGAGGCTATATGTATGCACCAAGATTTGGCTCTTGTTGATAAACAGAAGGTCAACATAGTGATCGATTTGTTTACCGTATGTCCAGTCATGCTAACTGGAAAATATTTGCTTTCGGTGAAATGGACTCTTCTTGAGTTTTTAACAAACAAGGAGGTGAAACGAAGAAATAACTGCAAACAAAACAAGTTATAATGTATTATTGGTTAGAGAAGGGCATCCGTAGTTTGTCATTGATTTGGACCACAAACTTATGTCTAAAGTGTAATGTCTTTTGGGAATGACATTCCGCCCTTTCTGTCATGCTAATAGAAAACTCAGCCACTTTTAATCGGGAAAGCTATTAAACAATATTTCGTAGATCACCTTAAAGTCACTGTATCGCTTGTTCTGCCATTTAGCAGGCTCAAGTACTTTGGGAACTGTTACATTCCTGCTGTTCCTTTTTTCGAGTGTAATGTAATGTTGTTCCAGACTGTCACCCTAATGACTTGATTAATATTAAACACCATAAATGATTTCAGATATTAAATAGTGCAGGTTTTAAAAGCCATTTTGGAATGTTTATATTCTGCCAGGGTACAAAAATGTCATCACCCTTGGGGCCACTAAAAGTAGGTTTATTTCCTGCCTTTTTTCTAATTTTAAGCAAAAGGTATATTGCAGTTGAAGCTGCTGCCAGTATGCTGATGAATTTTGCCTATACGTGTTGAAAGATAAATGTCTACTTCATCACTTCTATAACAATAGGACTTCAAAACGGTAGTCTAAAACTGTTTCAATCTCAGGGCTGTGTCATACCCTGCAACAATGTGCTTAATAAATGTTTCACTTCTTAAAGGATTGGTAAAAGGAGATTAGGACTCTTTGGGGGAAACCAGTGAATTTCAGTTTTATTTTTGAGGTCAAATCTGGTTTTCCCCTGGACTCTCACAGTCATTTTGCCTCATCTTATGCAACTGTGAGGAGGAATTTAGAAACGTTTGCTTTGATTAACAGCAACTTGTCATGACATATGTCCCAAGGCAAACCATGGTTAATTTTAACTATAGTTAGTGGAAACAAGCCACCTTTCAAAAGTAGTTCTTTCTTAACCATTGCTAAGATTAACCATGGTTTTCGGTTCAGATCTGCTAAACTGTGTTTCATTTAAGATAAAAGCAGAACATAATGATCACAGACATGCTGGAGGAAGAGAGTAGAAAAGGCAGCCTGTTGAAACCAGGCTTGTTCTCATCCAAACAGAGTTATTACACAAATTAAATAAATCTGTTTAATGCATTTTTGGGTACCTCACCTGTTGTAAGCACATTGCTGTTAAAACTGGGTCTGGCAACCACACTGAGGAGTGTTGTTCAACTCTTTTTCTCTTCAGCATAGCCCAAGTGTGCAGTTTCCTGCTCAGCTAGTCCTCAGAAAAGCTAGATTGGAAGGATGATTAACTATGGAAGCAGTTAATTGCACAAAGGGGGTACCAAACTGCATAAAACCCTTTGTTTCATGGAAGCCTTTCATTTCAAAAATAGTTCTTCACTAACCGTTGTTAAGATTAACCGTGGAGGATGGTTAATGTTGTCCTTATCTTCAAAAAGAGCAAAAAGGAGGAATCAGGAAACTAGAGCTAGATTGGAAGGATGATTAACTATGGAAGCAGTTAATTGCACAAAGGGGGTACCAAACTGCATAAAACCCTTTGTTTCATGGAAGCCTTTCATTTCAAAAATAGTTCTTCACTAACCGTTGTTAAGATTAACTGTGGAGGATGGTTAATGTTGTCCTTATCTTCAAAAAGGGCAAAAAGGAGGAACCAGGAAACTAGAGACCAATGGGCCTGACATCAATCCCAGGGAATACTCAGGAGCAGATTATAAACCAGTCACTCTGCAGGCACCTTGAAAACAATGCAGTAATAACTAAGCGCCAACATGGATTTGTCAAGAACAAATCTGCCAGATTGATCTTACCTCATTTTTTTTGATCGGGTAACCTCCCTGGAAGACAGTGGGAATCCTGTAGATGTAATCCGGGTAACCTCCCTGGAAGACAGTGGGAATGCTGTAGATGTAATTTATCTTGATGTCAGACAAGCCTTTGACAAAGTGTCCAATGATATTCTGATTAGCAAACTAACTAATATGGACTGGATGAAACAAGTGCTAGGTGGATACACGGTTACTGGATCATACTTAGAGTGCTCATCAACAAATCCTTCTCAAACTGGGAGGAGGTAATAAGTGGGGTACCACAAGTCTCAGTCCTGTGCCTGACACTTCAACATGTTTATTAATGACTTCGATTAAGGAGTGCAGGGACTACTTATAAAATTTTATGTGGATGACATAAAACTGGTTGGAATAGCTAATACCTTGGAAGATGGGAACAAAATTCGAAAAGATCTGGATAGGCTTGAGCATTGGACTGAAAACAATGGAATTTAATTTAATAGGACTAAGTGCAAAGTTCTACACCTAAGGAGGAAAAAAAACCCCAATGCAAAGTTACAAGATGGGGGATACTTGGCTCAGTAATATTACGAGTGAGAAGAATCTTGGAATTCTTGTAGATCACAAGCTGGATATGAGCCAACAGTGTGATGCGACTGCAAAAATGGCAAATGCTATTTTGAGATGTATTAACAGAAGTATAGTCTCCAAATCTCATCTCCCTTTATTCAGCACTGGTTAGGCCTCATCTAGAGTACTGTGTCCAGTTCTGGACACCACACTTTAAGAAGGATGCCAGCAAACTGGGGCAAGTTCAGAGGAGGGCAACAAAGATGATCAGGGGACTGGAAACCAAGTCCTATGAGGAAAAACTGAAAGAGCTGGGCATGTTTAGCCTTGAGAAAATAAGACTGAATGGACACAGGATAGCCCTTTCCCAATACTTGAAAGGTAATCATACAGAGGTGAGGCAGGATCTGTTCTGGATTATCCCATAGTGTAGTATATATAATAATGGGCTCAAGCTACAAGAAGCCAGATTTAGGGTGAATATAAGGGAAAAAGTCTAAACTGTTAGAGCAATACCATAATGGAACCAGTGACCTCGGGAGGTGGTGAGCGCTCCAACACTGGAGGCATTCAAGAGAAAATTGAACAACTGTCTGTCAGATCTGCTTTGATTTGGATTCCTGCATTGAGCGGGGGTTTAGGCTTGATGACCTTATAGGCCCCTTCCAACTCAGTGATTCTATGAACATCAGATATAAGCGGGAATGAGGTAATGGAAGCACACTCTCCATCTCATAAAAGCAGCTCTTTTACATTCTCCTTAAGAATCAGCACTATAAAAGCAGCTCTTTTACATTCTCCTTAATACGTCTTAAGAATCAGCACCGAAATTACAATTCAAAGTGAGGTATCAGATTCCACAACCTGTTGTGGTCTTTGGTGGTATATGTGAACCTGAAGATGAGAAGCCACACAAAAAGGAGGTGTCTAATCATTCAGCTATCTTTGATTAAAATAATAATAAAATCAGGAGGGCAAAACATGTTTCACCTTGCTCAAAGACTCAGATATTTTTGCACTGTTAACTTTGCAGCAAATAGTTTAAACCTCTTTTCTCCTGCCTGTTTAGTAAACAAAAATATTGTTCTGGTACAAATTGATATTAAGACTCAGAGAAATCCAAATTTAATTTGTTTACCATATTTAAAGACTGACTTTCAGCTATAACAGTTCCTGAGGAATTTATGGGAAAAACACTTTAAAAGAATTCAAGTTATTTTGTAAAAAATTCAAGTCAAATAAGCATATAAGTCAAATATGACTAACTAAATATAACAGCCAACAGGAGGGCTATAAAAAATGAATGGAAAAATACCCATAAGAATAAAGGTAAAGGTAAAGGTTCCCCTTGACATTGAGTCCAGTCGTGTCTGACTCTAGGGTGCGGTGCTCATCCCCATTTCAAAGCCATAGAGCCAGCGTTTGTCCAAAGACATTTCTGTGGTCACATGGCCAGTGCGACGACACGGAACGCTGTTACCTTCCCACCGAGATGGTACCTATTTATCGACTTGCATTTTTACATGCTTTCGAACTGTTAGGTTGGCAGGAGCTGGGCCAAGTGACGGGAGCTCCCTCCACTTGGATTCGATCTTATGACTGCTGGTCTTCCGACCTTGCAGCACAGAGGCTTCTGCGGTTTAACCCGCAGTGCCACCATGTCCTCATAAGAATAAACATGTTTAATTTAATGTATTAAAGTAAAATGGAAAAAAAAAGATGTACTGTGAAAAAGAGGCAGAGGAGGAGATGGTTGCTCAGCATCAAACAGGATCAAATTCTGAAGAGGAAGAGCTATTGCAGAAAAGAGCCTGGCGCTTGTTTAGCGTAATTTAGGTTCCACCGTTGATGGTGACTGGAGCAGAGATTCGTGCAGGAAATAGGACTTGTGCATTCAGATAAGGGTGTTCCCTAAAACCACGAGGACCAAGGCCACCTATGATGTTTAAAAGTTAAGGCCGACAACTTGAACATGGGCCTAAAAGCAAATTGGCAGCCAACAGATAGTGTTTTGAAACAGGCCTGGTATGTCTATGATGTATCCAGGCACGTGAACAGTTGATTTCTGAAACTCATTGACACACCCAGATTATCTTCCAGGACAAAATCTTCCTCTGTTTGGGTTGTGTTTTTTTTCTTCTGGTTATCTCTACAAAGATGTCTTCACAAAATCCTGTGTTATTGCGATAGCTGCACACGTCTTCTAAACCTCACCCCTCTGTTTTATCTCCAGTCTTTTAGCCCCTTGGATGTTTTTCTTAAAGGGATAAAAGCAGCGAGGAACAAGAGCCACCATGAAAATAAGCCACGAGTGGTAGGTGACGGGACTTTCTGGAGGCGCTCTGGTTCCTTCTTACCGGACGAACTATTTAATGCATGAGAATATTTCATGGGGACCCGTAAGCAACCTGAGAGATGATCAAATTCTCCATCCAACTTCCTGCCTGAACATCCATGGACCGGTCTACCGCTTCTGATCATTCTCATGCCTGGACCACATAAGGCGACAGTGATGCTTCCTTCTCTGTTAAGTCAAAATTTGGTGTCTGTTGTGGTGATACAGAGCTCTGGAATGTTTTGTGGCTTGTGTTCCAAACGAGAGAGTCTCCCCTCTTGTTTTCTATTGCATGTACGTCTTGTCGTGCTAACTGTCAAGATCCATATCCTTCACTCTGTTAAAGCCAGAGGCAACGCAGAGGAGACGACAGGCCAGGCTTTTACCTCCCAGGATGGAAAACACGACACCGTCATGTGGGACAAAAACCTCCTTTTCTGTAGTTTGTTACTTTGTCCACTGTATGTGTACTCTTCCTATTCCAAACTCTTTTTCTCTCTCTTAAGCAACAGGAAATGGACAGAGGGAGATGGTTTGTTTCTTTCGTCTGATAATATGTGACTGTCCCTCTAAAATAAACTTTGTAAAAAGGGTATTTGTTTCTTCATTTGCTGCTTCGTAAAATAACATTCTCTAAGAACTTTTAAAAATGAAACAATAAAAACACAAGTAACAATGAAATTCAGATAATACATAAAATGATTTTTTAAGAAGCCAGCTTGGGTTCCTCTCTTGCTTTGGATTTGAACAGAGTGCTGGGTAAGTGGAAGGAAATGAGCGGAGGATCCAGGCAATGCCATCATCATCGAGCATACTGAGAGTCAAAAAGGTGCTTGTGTCTGTGTAAAGCAGAGAAAATATTTGCTTTCAACTGAAGGATGTCAAGATGTGGTGTCGTTTATGAGCCAAACAAGGCAGAACTATCGGGTATCTTTTGTAAAAGACAACCATGTCTGCCCCCCAGCCAACGTTTCCCCCCTCATTGCTCTTTTATGGTCTGGATTCCCTCTCTCTGAGGTACTCTTTGTCCCTCAGGGCAAGAGATAAAGCTACCTGTGTAGTTTCGGATATCTAATCACCCGAATTCTGCTCTTGGTTTGTCAAGCTCTCTGTTGTCTATTCCAGCAACTATCACTTCTCAAGGACTTAGGCAGATGTTTCTTCTGCAGTGCTTGCCGACTGCCTCTGAGCCAGATACCTAATCCATTTGAGTTATCCTGCCAGCTGAAATAAGTGGGAGGGGAGGAGAGCCATGGATGACACGTACTGGCTGTAAGAGGATGCCTTTTGCTGAACCAAGTTGCTGTGCTGTGGATCTGTTTTGCCCAGAGCATCCTCCAGTCGTGTTCGGCCAATGACAGAACTAAGGCCACGTGCTGAGGTCTTTCTCTGTGAAATACTTTTAACTGGAGATAGGAGGAATTGAACTTGGGACTGAGGATGAGCTGTGTTGCAGAAATGTCTTCTGATGCAGTATAAGACGGCTTCCCGTGTCCCTAATAAAAAGATGAGAGAAAAGCCCAGCCATCAATCATTTCCCTTTTTATAAGAGAATCACAAATTTCAGGCCAGGACAGATGCCAAAATGAATTTCTGCTGTTTACTTTAACCTTGAACATTGCTAAACTTCTGCCTCCTTTACCAGGGAGTGTCTGTACAGACATTTGCTGGAATCCTGTAAGATCCTTACACTTGTTCCGCAGCTGTAACTTTTGTCCTCCCTCAAGAGCCGAAGGGCAGAGGCTTCCAGCATGTTTGCACAGGCTGGAACAACTCAAATGTTCTGTCTTTTTTTAAAAGTCTTTGATGCTTTCCATGGTTGTCAAGAATCAGCACAAGTAGAATTGTGAACTTTCCTACAGAATTTTGGCCTGTGCCTGAACATCTGTGCCTGTTAGGTGCCAGTTCTTAAAACACTTTCCATGATACGGATGTAGACATAGATGCATCATATGCATACATGATACGCTGTGCCTGTTAGGTGCCAGTTCTTAAAACGCTTTCCATGATACAGATGTAGACATAGATGCCAATGTGTTTCGTCTTGAGTTTGCAGTCATGGCAGCTTCCTCACAGATGGTTGTGTGAGCTGAGACTGAACTATTGGCCATATCGAGCTTGAGGAATAAGTGCTACATAAAGTGCTCCACTCTTACCCATGAAATTCCAGGATTACTTCTACAGCCGCATAAGAGAACATCAGAAAGCTGGCCTTCAGACAAGAGATGGCCAATCATGTGAGAATTGGGGGGCGGTGATCAATGAATCTTTCTCCTTCCCTCTGATATGTGGACTCATGGCCTAGTTCAAGGCATTCCAACAAACCAATGTGTTCTTAGTTTCTGCAAACGTTGGCATAATGCATGTCACAGAGGCCACCGATGGCTCAATGGGGGCTTGGACGTGGTACAATCCAAGCTGGAATCTCTTGATCCAACAGCAGCAACGTGGCTATATGGAGCCATAGTCAAAGCGAAAACACCCAGAAATAATGGCAGCTGTTCCCGGACAGGCAGTAGAGAAGGTGCAGCCACACATTCAGTCGGACAGTTCCTCTGGCAATGACGATGCACGGAAAACGCCCATCGTCAGGAATTGAGCCAAGGGTCAACAGCACATGACCTGCTCCTTCCTTTCTCCTCCAGATGTGGAGAGGAGAAAGCGTCCCACATAAAAAGGAAGCACAAAGCAAGCCCTGAGGAAAACTGCCCACTAGATAGGCTTGCTGGGACAGGAAATGGGAGAGGAAGCCTCGGATCCAGGCCCCGAGGGGTTTTCCAGCTGCCATCCCCAGCTCCATTCTGCCCAGTTCTTAACCCAAAATAGGTCTGATGGCAAGAAAGAAGAAACATGGAAACAGAGTTTAAAAAAAACTCTGTTCCTAATGAATGTCTTATGCTTCCTCTTAACCCAAAATAGGTCTGATGGCAAGAGAGACGAAATATGAAAACAGAGTAAAAAAACCTCTGTTCCTGATGCATGTCTAATGCTTCTGTAGAAATGCTATCTGTCCAGTATTCTGTGCTTGACCAGGATCTGAAATGGTAGCATGGAAATCTGGGAATGGGAGGAAGGTGTTGTGAGCAAATAATTGTAAGCACATTAGATTACATGTGTTTTGTGTTCCTTTGTTTGTTCTCCAGTGATTCCCTTCACTATGTAGTTTCTGAGAAAGAGAAAAGCACCAGTCCTCAAGCTTCAGTGTGCATTAAGACACAAATCTGACCCCAATGCAACCATTTCTAATAAACGGTGGTTTTCATTTGGCTGAGCATGAGCCTCATTCCCCTTTGCTCCCTTCTTCTGAGTGCTGCATTAAAATTTTTTTGGGGGGGTGGATATGTCTTAAGCAAGAAACGGGTTAACTTTGTATACTGAGAGTAAATCGTCGTTTTGGAGTTCATATATAACAGGAAATTGATTGAATAAACAATGGAAGTGTTTTTTCTTCCCCATAAGAAGGAGAGGAGGAAATGTGGCAGTGAGATTCATTTCTTGGGTCTAATAAACAATGGTTTATGACACTGGCATTTTGTTACACTTGAACCAACTCGATTTTTGTGTGTGCGGTCACAACTGGGGACAGATAAATCAGCCTGTTCCAGGTTCATGTCACGTTTGCATTATGTTCACTCCTGAGGCCATTCTGTTCCATTTATCTGCAAACATGCATACAATTTATATGTTATAAGCAGACAACACAAAATATTCACAGTGAAACAGGTGTTTTTCAATGTATTTTCGTTCAAAACAACTCAGTTCTTCATCACATTGCAACCATGTTTTTGTGTGTGTGTGTTATATGTTATAAGCAGACAACACAAAATATTCACAGTGAAACAGGTGTTTTTCAACGTATTGTCGTTCAAAACAACTCAGTTCTTCGTCACATTGCAACCATGTTTTTGTGTGTGCGCTAAGAACGCTCAGGAAACAAAGCTGGTAGATCGTTTGCATTTCACAATTTGGCAGCTTGTGGATCAGGCGAAATCGCATCAGGATTCAGAAAGAGCCAGCTTCTCAAGCATTCTGAATTCAATTCAATTCGTTTATTTAGTTAGTCATTTTGACCATATCAAAAGCATAGAAATCACATAGATCCAAAGTAAACAGCTAAAAAGAGATAAAATACATTTCAGTCACAGAATGTGTTAGTGGCACAGGAATGTTTGTGTGTGTATTTAATTTTGATCTTGTCCTGTGGTTAAGAGGAAAAATGTGTTGAAAAGAGGATTTTCCCCTATTTGAGACAAAAGTGGTAAAGTCTACTTCTTAGTTGAAATTACTCAGATTTCATAGAATTCCAAGCTTCCTGCAGGCGTATTTTTATAGTTTCAGTTTTGGGGCTTTTTTTTAAAAAAAGAAGCAGTTGATGTGTTTTCTTAACATTTGCTTCATTAAATCTGCTTTAAAGCCTAATTGTTGTGATTTCCGTTTCAACTACATTTTAATGAGCAAAAATTTAACTCTGTTGTTTTCTGCTCTTGAAATGTAAATTACATCCCTATTAATCACCAGGGCTGTTTTTCTAGGCACTCCAAATACATGACGTTTTGAATTGTGTTTTGCTGGCATACAAGGCCGGTGTCCTTTTTTGTATGTTGTTAACAGCAACATGTTCAGCTGCAACTGTTATGACACCATCTGTTTTCACTTGAATCTTAAACAGAGTGGGGCCCTTTATGGACCTCTGGATATTGCTAGAACTACAATTTCTATCATCCTTCACCGTTAGGTATGGGATGGGAGTTGCAGTCCCATATATATGAAAGGCCAGAACTGACCATCCAGAACCTTTTGGTCTGACACTGGGGATAAGCAAACCACCACCTCCTAGCTGTTTTGGGTTGCTGTTCTCATCATCCCCAATCCTTTGCCATCCCTGCTGGAGCTGACGGAAGGTGGCTGAAACATTTAGAGTCATGGTTCTCAACCTTGGGTCCCCAGATATTTTTGGACTGCAACTCCCAGAAATCCTGGCCAGCACAACCAGCACAACTTCTAGGAATTTTAGTCCAAGAACATTTGGGAGCCACTGATTTAGAGAATTCCAGGCTGCCTGTTCCTTTTATTTGATGTTGTCTTATTAAAAATATAAGAGGTCTGTTGGATCGGAGTGAAGACTGTCCAGTCCAAGGTTCTGTTCCCACAACGTCTGCCTCCTAGGAAGCCCACCAGAATTGGATGCAGCCACAATCTCCTTGCTCGTGTTCTCAGCAACGGATACACAGAAGCAAGCGATACCTGCAGTATCTCTTTATGTGGTTTTATGTACATCTCTATCATATCTCCCCATACTAACCTTTTTTTTCACCACCTACACTAACGCATAGTTTTGGTCTGTTTCATAAAGTTTTGCCAAGTCAAGTTCCGTTGTCCAACTCAAGACTGCCAGATGTTTCCATATGCAGCATGTGTTTAGAATCTGTTCTGTGTATCCAAAGCCAACTAGATCTATTGCTTGTTGTTCTTCTTGTTGCATGCTATCAAGTCACCTCCGACTTACGGCAAGCCTATGTATGAGTGATCTCCAAAATAGGACGAGATACACTGCTTACTTCATTCCTAATGGGAAGTTATCCTTGCCGTGTTC